GAGCGTCCAAACCCCAGTCGGACTTTGAACCTGTATAGTCTAGGCTGACAATTCAATGCATTTCTGGGAGTGCGTTGTATTGTTGGAGGTGCTGTCCTTCGGATAAGACATTGAACCTAGGTCCTATTTTCCTTTTCTGGTAGACGTTAAGGGTACAATCACACTAATCAAAAAGAGAAGGGGTTTCGATCCTTGTGTCTTGGCCAACGTTTCCCCAGATAAAACTGATCATTCACTTCATGGCTGTCTGTGGGACATTGCTGTGTGAAAATTAGCTGCTGCATTTGCCTGCAAAATAACAGTCACTACACTTTACAGCACATCCTGTGAAGCCATGTCACGAGATGTCTTCCTGACATGAAAGGCGCTATATAATTATAAGGATTATTAGATCTGGAGCCTGAGTAATAACAACAATAATCCTTGCATTTGATGTAGCACCTTATCACATCTTCGAGACGTTTCAAAGTGCTTCACAGAAAATACTGTAAAGTGAATTGACCATTTTTTGGGCGAAATGGGCAGCCAATTACACACAGCAGTGTCCCACAAACAGTCATGGATTGAGTGACCAATTATTATTCTTTTTGAAGGAATTATTACCCCCAGAAAAGAGATCCACCAATCAACTAACAACCGGGTTCCTACTTACTGCTCGGTGAACAGAGGTGTGTGTGGCAATGAAACTTGCCCAAAGTTTGCCCTGCCAGGAATCAAACCCAGGTCTCTCGTTTGCGAAGCAAGTGCACTAACCACTGAGCTACAGGACTCCATTGGAAACATACCTAAATGTGGTAAAGGCAGATTATTTTAGACCAGTATGAACAGATCACCCTGCCGTTTGTGAACCAAATTCCTGCCGAAATTCAGAAACAGGAACCTCTGGTTATAATAATCATAATAATCCTTGCATTTGATATAGCGCTTTTCACGTCGGGAGGACGTCCCAAAGCGCTTCACAGAACACACTGTAAAGTGAATTGACTGTATATTTGTGGGCGAACGTGGCAGCCAATTGCGCACAGCAATGTCCCACAAACAGTCGTAGATTGAAAAAGACCAATTTTTATTATGTTTTTGGTTTTGGAGGGATTATTATTAGGCGTGTGGAGTAAGGAAACTTGCCCAAGGTTTCGCCCTCTGCCTGGAATTGAACTCAGGTCTCTCGCTTGCAAAGCGAATGCTCTAACCACTGAGCTACAGGACTCCACAAAGAACAGAGCAAATGGGGCCCATGTTTACCCGTTTCCAGAAGGGAAGACTGAATGTGCATGGAAAGTGCACTTTAAAAACTCATATTGTAACATAAAGTGCTAGAGACCTATGTTTCAATATAATCTCTTCTTTGATTGAGCTAAATGGCTAAAAAGATGCCTTTAAATTGGATTGAGACAAGTGGTTAGTGTGGTTTTGAGAAGCTGGCAATTCCTTTCAGTAAATATACCTCATGCCAAACCATCGTAATGTGTTACACCCTGACAAAAACAATGTTGCTTAGGGTAGTATAACAAAAGTGCGAGATAAACAATTTCACAAGAACTAACTTTTTTGCTCTCAGCACTGCACCTGTAAAATCATTTTTCAATGAATACTCACTAATCCTTTGAAGCAATTAAAATACAGTCTGCAGTCTTGAGTGATTATGGTCTCATTTTAAAAGTGCTTCAATGTTATCAGCCTTGGGCAATGATAATTTAACTGTTGCAGTGTGTTGGTTTTCAGTATATTACTGTCTAAGATCAGAAACTCCAACACATCTTCCGAGTGAAGTCTACCAGCAGTGACACAATGTAAACTGTATTTAATCCTTTGCATTTCACAATTTCTTTCTATCGTCAGTGGCAATTTAAATGTTTATATAGGTGTTGGCTTTGTTCAGTTGGTAGCAACCTCGCCTTTGGGTCTGAAGGCTGTGGGTTCAAGCCCAGTTTTGGATGTTGAGCTCCTTGTCTAGGCTGACACTATGCAGGGGAAGACATGCAGTACTTTGATAAAAGATCCCATAGTAATAATTGAAAAGTCCTGGCCAACAATCCTCCAGATACAATTATCATTTACTTCATGACTATTTGTGGGAATTTGATGTATGCAAATTGCCTGCCTAAAAATACACAATAACTACACCTAGTGATGAACTTTAAGCCATTCTTAACATTATAGGCATAATATCAAATGTAGGGATTATTATTATGTATTAACATAGCTATTAACACTTTATAGGGACAGTGTCAATATGAGCTGAAAAACTCCTCATTTGAGAACATCTGGTGCCCCCTGTACTTCATCTTACATTGAAGCTCTATCTGCCAGGAAGCACTACAAGCTAACCAATCTTCCAAAAGCATCTTTGGGATGCGAGTGACCCTGGCAGGGCCAGCATTCATTCCCATCCCAGGTGCGGAGGGAGTACCACCGGGAGAGAAGGAACACAGAGACAACTGGGTGTTTCCCACTATGATGCTGGGCATCACTTTGTTTCTGGTCTGCAGAGCCCTTTCCCAAATATCGAGGAAGGCTGGCAATAAGAAAAGAAAGTTGGTACCATATTTGTGCCTTTGAAACTCCTACTTATTCAGAATTCTTGGTGCTTTCTGTGAAATTTATTCTTCAATGTCAGGTTCTAAGGGAGACAAGCATGTCATATAAAAATGCAAGTGCTGCTCACTTTTCAGGCAAGCCGTGGGCGGTTTATGGGAGGTGGTGGGAGGAATGGATGAAGGAACTATGTCTGAAGTAAAACCAAACTCGATTAAAATGCATTTCAAGCAACAAGATTTTCATCTACAAATACACATCTCATGAAGTAAATTCTGTGAAGCACTCAGAGATATTTCAATGATGCTATATTAAATACAGCAGACAAATTACTCAGGCAATTGGGAAATCAAATTCACACTTGTATAGCAAAACAGGATCAAAATTAATTAAAATAATATGATCTATATTGCTCGTTGTCCTGATTTTGCTGGATTAGGTCACCCCAGTGATCAGAGAGATTGCAGATTACATTTACTCGTAATAACAGACGGGCGGGCGGGCTGTGTGTGCTATTTCTTCCACATGACTGTTGCAGTAAGAGGTCTTTAGTAACAGTACACTCTCAGGAGAGACTTTTATCCAGTTCAGCGGACCAAATGTTTCAATGCTAAAACATCAAAGGGAATGAAAGACAAAATAGAAGACTTGTTTCAGTACAATTCCCCACAGTCTTCTCACTGCGAGCCTACCCAGGGACATGTCAGAACCATCAGCACTGCAACTGGGCAACAAAGTGTTAGAAGTGCATAACATTTTTAAATGGGATTGAAAATGTAGCCCAAAAGAATACTGTAGGATGCATCAAGACAGTAGAATAAGAGGGTATAGGTCAGAGTTGCAAAGAGCAATTTCCAAATAAACACCAGGAAGCTTTTTCTTTACACATGATAATTAATGACTGGAACAGTTTTTAGGAAGAGTGGTGGGGGCCAGGAACTGGACTGATTTAAAAAGATCCTGTGATGGGAGGACAGAAAGGTGGGTATGATGAAATCATATGTGCTGAATTCAAACCAATCTTGTGATCTTAAGTTTAATTATTTCCAGAGCGAGATTGTTTCTGCTCATCAGCAAGCCAATAACAAGATTGCTTAAATTGAGAATCATCACCAGAGATATAAGGAGGTTAGAAAAAATGTGTTTACCTGGACTGTTAGAATATGTATTGCTTTACAATAATTAGCACTTCAATCTGAGTCCATAATAGCTTTTAAAAGAGAATTAGGTAAATACTAGAGGTGTAGTGTAACAGGAACCTAGAGGATCAGCGTAATGTGCCTTGTGGTGTGTGTGTAAGTGGGTGGGTGGGGAAGCTGCATTCAGACTGTCTTACTAAAAGACAGATTAGAGCTGTTTAGATTTGTTCTCCTACTTTTCCCCAGAATCTTTGATACTTCGTTTTAAATATTTATTTAATTCTCTCAGTACAAGAAGGTTGTGATTGAAGTCTCATGTCGGGACCTAGAACTCTGTAGTCTATGCTGGGACTCAGTACTATACCTACACAGCAATGTGTGCCACACTGTTGGAGGTGCCATTCTTCAAATGAGACATTAAACTGAAGTCCTCTCTGTCTGTTCATATGGGCATTATGGCACTATTCAATAAGAGTTTCTCCTGGTGTCCTAGCCAACAATCCCCCAGATAAAATGATTCACTTCATGACTATTTGTGGGACATTACTGTGCATAATCCAGCTGCCTCATTCACCCACAAATATACAGTCACTCCACTTTACATTAAAGTCCTATGAAGTGCTTTGGGACATTCTCCGCATGTGAAAGGCACTACAACAATTGTAAGGATTATTTTATTAACAAGAAGCTTTCAATTCCCCAGCACTGCCATTCCCAGATGAGAAAAAATCTTTCCCCACTCCTCAAAATATTTCAGCGCAAACAGCGGGAAAAACTGTTCCTGAGGCACATTTTCCATTTCCACATTAAAAACACAGGTGCCTTGTCTAAATGCAACAGCTCATGTAATCAAGCTCTACACATTTACCTAACTAGTGAATAGAAGATCCCAAAGCTTTAGGAGACCAGGCGCCAGGAGATTTAAGACACCCCAATCTCACAAGCAAAGAACCATGAAGAAATCTCAGGGATTATATGTAACCAAGGAATCTAACTGCGTTGATTGTCCAATAAGCATTCCTGATCCATTTGTATTACTTTACAATTTTGCAATCATTTACAAAATCAGCATGTAATAATAATAATATTCGTTGCATTGTAACATGTAATTGAATCTCTGCAGAATACAACCCCCTGACCACAAAATGCTCCTCTTTGCAACTTCGAAACTGGTGAAGTTGCTCTTAATCAGTTTATTGAACTGGTCACCACTGTCCTAGCTCGTACTTTCACACCTGGGTAACATGAGGAATCAGAGAAAGGATATAACAATCCTATCATGTAAATACCAAGTAATCGGTTATTGTAAAGAAATATCAAACTTACCATTCTTGGTAGTGGGTGCTGGAACCAGCTGTGGCTGGAATGATACAGGATCCCGACTTCTGGCTAGATCTGTATTACGAAGCCAGGGGAAGGGAAGCCAGGTGTCTTCAATTACTGAAGGCTTCAATCTCATTTATACGTCCTTGATCCTGCAATTCAGTTAAAAGGATTCAAAATCCACTTTTTATTCAAACCACTCCCCACCAAACACATACTACACACACGCCTGTTGATGTGTAATTGTGAAAATAGTCTTGAGGGAAAAAGTCATTTTCAACAGTGTGTCAAATTGCTAATCTAAGCATTTCAGGTTTTAAATCTATGAACTTTGTTCTTTCCACTTTGCAGTGTGTACATCAAACAGCACTCAGGGTATCTGCAAATAGCACCGAGGGGAAAGTGAATTATCTGATTTTAAACAACTTGTCTTCCTGACTGTATAACACATACACCCCTTTTGCATTTGAGATCTGTTGTTTGTTTGGGCCACTGAAAAAGGAAATAAACCATCTTTATATAATGAATCCTGTTTACAGCCTTGAGATTAATCCTTGTACTCAAATCACTAAATCTGTAAATGTACTAAAATTACCGCTGCTGTACCAGGGCTATTCTGTGCAAGGCTATTGAATGGAGTGACTCCATTGAATGTGGAGTGAAGATTGACACTGGAAAGCAAGATTCACTTTGACAAAACATTATACCAATTAAGTCCACCTTTATGGAAAAGTGATGTTTCAACATGCTTTTTGTATAGTTTCCCTAAATAGCCTTAAAAGGGGAGTCAGGGGACATCATGTGGTATGTGCAGCTGTTAATTTAATATACAGTAAGCAATATCGTTTTTCAGCCTTTTATGTCCAATCAAACCTGCACGCTCTCCCCAAGAAATTGGCTTATGGGATCTGTGAGATGGGATTAACCTGAAATCATATAACCATGCAGAACTGTAGCTACTTGTTTTGCTTTCCTATTCTATTTATCAGCACTCACTGTCTAAAGTAAAACTAATCACATAAATGTCGATAAATATTTTGTTAAACCTTTGAGTTGGCCCTTTATATGTTGACTACAGTTTCCATACAAAGAGTCATAATAGCGATCCAGTGAGTGATCAAATCAGTGTTCCAAGGGTAATTCCTTGATTGAGAAACATTCCTTCAATTTAAAAATTGAAGGCATGTTTCAAAACCCATTTTGATCACAAGAGATGTTTGAGTGATCTTAAATGAGCCAGCAGAGACACAATAACCTTCTTTGCTGTAAATTTATTTAGTTCTGCAGATGACAAAGGTCCTGCGGCCCATTTGACTTCACCTTGCAGAATCCCCATCTAACAGTCCTCCCAGCATAGCATCAAGCCACTTGTTACATCCATCCAGTGCATTGGCCTCTGAAGTCACCCTTCCTGATTATCTGTTCCAGTCATTAATTATTCTCTGGGTAAAGAAATATTTTGTGGCATTTGTCCTAAAATTGTCCTTTGCGACCATTGCCCTTGTCCTGCTGCACTGTCTTATCTAAAAATATTGTTCTGAGTTTACTTTTGCAATCTTATTTAAAACTTGATATACCTCCGTTCAAGGCTGAAGACCCTAGTAGGCGCTATACAAATGTAATTTTGTTGTTGTAGTTTGTCTAATCACTGCTCCAAGTTAATTCCTCTTGGACCTTCCTTGTTGTTCTTTTCTGTCATTCACTCTTTTAAGAAAAAAGCCCAACTTCACTGAACTGCCTCGCTCTTACTGAGGAAGGGACTTGAGTGAGTGGTTGGTGGAGGAAGAGAAGTGCAGGGGAGGGGGGGCGGGTAGAGAGGGGTAATTGTAATCTGTGGCTTTCTGTCCAACAGCTGAAAACAGCTAAATTTGGGAACATGTCCTTGTGAGGCCATGGCTCTCATCACCTATTCCTAATCAGATGATTAGAGTCTGATAATCATTCAACACTCAATTTTTTTATTATTTGATAAACATTCTCTGTAAGTTTAAAGTGAACTTAGAAATGCTGCAATTCAATATGGTTGAAAACTATATTTGTGCCCTGAATTTCCAGTTCATTGAAACCATATAAACGGACATTCCCCAATGACTGCACACTAAATCATACTTTTTTCCTGGCAGGGATGTGGAATGTGCACATAGACAATCATAATTGACTGGAATGTTATTGACCTGGAGGTGGGAAAGAAGAGTTGGAATTGATATACAACAGGATTTATTATAATTATTCATTACAGATAAGTGAACTTGGCTCTGAACTTGGAGTCCTGCAGCTCTGTGATTAGAACACTCGTCTGGCAAGTGAGAGACCTGGGTTCGATTCCCGGCAGGGCAAAGCCTTGGGCAAATTTCCTTACTCCACACACCTGATAATAATCCCTCAAGAAAAAAAACACAATAATAAATTGGTCAATCAATTCACGACTGTTTGTGGGACACTGCTGTGTGCTGCTGCTGCATTTCGCCCACAAATATACAGTCAATTCACTTTATAGTATATTCTGTGAAGCACTTTGAGACGTTTAGAAGACTAGAAAGGCGCTGTATCAAATGCAAGGATTATTATTATTGTAAACATACACCCTCTGTGCCTTACAGCTTACTTGCTGCAGACTATAAACTCTAGGTCTGTGTGGCCAACCTGTGTCCTGTGGACCTTCAAAAAGCACCCCGCACCCCCAAACATTTGTAAAAATCTAGGTAAGTACGTGTTCAATCAGTTGTGTGTTTTCAGTTTTTTCTTGATTGAATATTTCTTGATTTATGGCACAAATCAAGATACATTCAATCAGAAAAATATATTCTGTTGGCCGACCATAAAAGTTGGCACCACTGCTGTAGGTCCTGCTGTTTCCCTAGGTGGCATCATTCCAGGTGTATCCTCATTTTTGCAAGGCTTTGGAGTTCTTCCTTGTGTCCTGACCAATAGTCCCTCAGATAAATTAGCCATTTAGTTCATGGATGTTTGGGGATCTTGTTGTGTGCAAAATGACTGCAGCATTTGCCTGTAATACCAGTCACCACATGTTTTCAGTAATTACTTGCGAAGTTCCATATATTCTTACCACTTCCACATAGACTTGCAGTACCTGTGTTATCAGGTAATATTGTGCTGCAGGCAGACTAAGCTGGGGATCTTGTGCACTTCATTCAGCATCTTGAACACTGGACCATTCAGTAGGTGGCATTCATTTGTGGAATTTTCACTTTGGTTTGGATACACTTAAGCGGGTGATGGGTTTCCGCATGTGTCACACACCTGGCTGACAAAAAAAAACCTGGAATGCATACACTCTCCCTGGAGGGACACAACCTTCTTAATTAATTCTGTAAATAATTAGGCAAGGGTTGTGTGAATCAATGCTTGGGGATGCCGGAGTATGCTTTGGGGACCTGCTAGAACTTAACCAGCTAAAATCACATACCACAGGAACCCTGTTGCCAGTGACTGGCCTGCCCATCCATGCCCTTCCAAAGAGCCAGGCTCACTGGTCTGTCTTCAGCAGTAGTCTGGAGAACTATGAACCCTTTTGGTTCAGGAACCAGTCTTCCGAGACCACCATAGAGGATCAAATCGATTCTGATATTTTGTGGCCGAGCCAGCTCAGCACAAATGAGACCTTGCTTACCTACCCTTGCCCGCCATCTTCCCACAAGGAGATGGAAGGGAAGTAAGACTTCAATGTTGGACATAATTAGAACAATTAGGTGTGAACTAAAACTCAGTCTCGGGTGAACTATAAATTGATGCCTGAAATCCAAACTATTTGCCTTATGATGTCTTGGGCGATTGGGCAGACGGTGTATTAGATAGAGCTGCAGCTTATAGACCAGGAACTCACTGGTTCGAATTCTGGTGTATGCTAAATTTGCTGATATAATCTGGGGTTAGATGGGGAGGCTGAATTGGTCCTTACCTTCCTAATATTAGGGCAGGACAACCCAGGCAAGGTTTTTGCTCCTAGTCCCTCTTCAGCACCATCTATTGGTTATGAGAATGTGTCAGTAGTGTGGGGAGAGGCCAGGCTCAGCTGTGATTCCTTTACAGTCAAGTGGCCTGGCGAGACTCACTGCTGAGACTCATACATGAACCATGGCCACTTGGGCGGAGCACTAGAGAAAACCAGCAACCATAGAACCACACCCCAGCAAGAGGAGGCCTGACCGGGAACAAAGTGGAAGGGAGAAAGGTAGAAAAAAATGGACAAACTAATTTTAAAAAAGGTACTTTCCTGGTTTGTTTTTGTGTTGAGCAGTAAATTTCACACTAGTACTCAATGATAAGAATAACAATTTGTGGGGTACTTCAGAGAAGAACAGAAAGCTTCAAATACAAAGAAAAACTGGGACATAGAAATAATTTGGAAAGGATCAAGAATTTCCTCTGTGGTTTTGGCCATACCTTATTGGGAATATGGATATATTTGGAAAGCATGTGCACTGTTTTATCATTAGCATGGCATAAAAATACAAAATACACACGGATTGAATTAATGTCAAGTCCACAAGAACAGCATGAGTACTGCGTAAATTGATTGCACGGGGCACACTTTGCTCTAACACAGCAGCTCACAGAAACATATGAAAGGGAGAAAAAATAGGCCTTTCTCAGCACAGCACACAATGGGGTCATCTTAGGAACAGTGGTGCCATACACAAGATGAGCGAGGAGGTAAACTCCAAAGAAACAGGAAAGGGAGAACTAATTGGGAATTGGAAGCAAATTAAAAAGACATGGGAATGTAAGCATTTTTATACATCACAGCATAAAGTACTCAAGAATATTTACAACCTGAACCCAGAAGAAAGTTGCCTAAAGAACTCTTAATATTGGCCCACAAAACACACAGTCACTACAATTTACAGTACATCCTGTGCAGCGCTTTGAGATGTCCTCCTGATGTGAAAGGCACTGTAAGGATTATTATGCATTGGTACACTATGCTGGCTCAGTTGGTAGCAATCTCGCCTCTGAGTCAGAAGGTTATGGGTTCAAGCCACACTTTGGGACTTTGAAATCATATGATCTAAGCTGACAGTGTTGAGCATGTGGTGCATTG